AAATAGATCATTTATTAAGGAAGTAACAGTGCCAAGTATTGGAACGAAAGATGATAACGTGTTAGTAATATTGACTGCCCCTTCTATGAACTCGTCAAGTTCTGGCCTGATGCTTGGTATGGTTTCTGAGTCAACTTCAGCTTTTGTCGTCATGATGAATGTAATTGATGCAACCTGTTGTTTAAAAACAGCTCATCTTATATATGATAACGCCTCTAAAATTGGGAACCTTTTAATCTTGTATTAGTATCTGTGTAACTATGTGGGACGAAAATCATTTCGATTTTTGTGCTAATTAACTTTAATAGGCAGAAGAATGAGATTAGCATACTAAATATGATAATTGCATAAATATGCACAACTACCAATACTAACACCACAGCAGCAAATTAAAGCAACAGTTGCTATGGCTGCTATTGTTGGTGCTAACAGCACAAATACGATTATGCAGACTACTCCACAATGTTTGTTACAATCTTCGTCGTAATACCAAAAATCTGATTCTTTATTGCAAGAAGCAGCAGAGTTCGCGCAAATGAGTATAGATGAGATCTGAAATAGGAAATAATAATCGTCCATGTGATCATGTGATATTACAGGTCAAAAACGATGTAAATTTTTTTTTATAAAAATGGATTAAGTGTTAAAAACAATGTTTTTGCAAAAAAAAGTGGGGTTGTTATTTACACGTCTGATCCTGAAATTCAATTGGTCAAATTACAATTTTTTGTGGGAGAGTTTTAGAACACCAACAACGATAAGATACAAATGGATGTATAGACAAGTATTGTAAGATTATCCAAATTGCGACTCATACCAGGTGCAATGCAAATATGACTGATGACTTTCCAGAACTCGACATAATTCCAATAGGAAAATTCATCTCTTTACGAAATGCAGGTTTCCAACAAAAGCAGGCTAATAAAACATCTTCAAAAATATTTCAAATGAAGAATCTCATCAAGAAACTAATCAAAATATAAGTAATAGTTGTTATTATAATAAAAAACATTGCGGAAGAACCGATGTAATAAATATCGATGTACAATTCAATATAGCATAAAAAAAAAATACGTTACAATTTTGAAGTTACGTCAATTTTTTAATTAACGGAAATTTGAAAGTGACGTCAATCCTATAGACAATGGAGAAAATTTAATTTTATTAAATTGACTCTTCATACTGACATCTGATAGAAAATTTCTATAAAATTTTTGTGAATTGCTCAAGAGTTTTTAATTTTTACATTTACGCACATTATACCACACGCTTTTTTTTAAATTAAAACTAATCATGGGTAAAAATCATAGTGCTATTTTTTTCAGTTATCTATGCATATTAAAATTATTAATTCTTGTATTTTGCTTTTCAGGACTCTTCGATATTTTCGGAGAACATTACAGCGATGTTATACGCCGAAAAGAAACACAAAGGGCATCTTAGTCATGAAATAATCGCTGGTGCTGCAGCTTTTGAAGCCATGAGGCACTTCGAAAAAATGCATGAAGAAAAAACCTGAAAAATGATAAATTTGCCTTTGCTAAAGAGGTGCAAATCATCCCGCAATTTAAAGGATTATTTAAATTAAGTTAAATTTATTTTTTTAAATTTTATAATAATAATAGGCACTTGCAGCATTTGCTGCCGCTGAAGCGGAAAAACTCATTGAGACGAAAGGTCTTGATGCTCTTGATAGAATGAAAGCGAAAAGGCACGCACAGGAGGCTGCCGAAAAATTATGCGACTGTAAATAATTTAATTCTTAACTGGTTTATAATGTAATATTCAGGCTAACTTTTTTTCCTAGAAAAATATTGTCGATGTTAGTTTTCATTTGTTATAACTGTATATATACCTGTACCGTAAATTGTCTTTTTTTTTGTTTATTATCGTATTGTGCAACATTTATGGGTTCGTCCCGTTGACATTTTTGCAAATAAACTAAATTGCTTTGGGATGACTATTCCATACTAATTTCAATTGATATTTGGTAACTCTTAAAAAAAAAATTTTTTTTTTTTGTCTCAGTAATTGATGTCGCACTTATTTTATACGCTTTAAAGTACTTTTTAGGAAAGTAATGTAAAAGCCATTCATAGCTTTAAAATAACGTCAACGTCCACTATGCAAAGTAATCTCGAAAAGATCAAAACTCATAGACTTAGAAGACAAAATATATTGGCCATTTATTGGACCATACGAAATTATACCAAGACTTAATGCATCGAGTATACAGAATTTGAAATGGTCACTGTTTATAATATCTTTTATTTAATTGATCCGAATGACTTATTCGTCATGCTTTTATTTATTTTTTGCACATTATTTAATCACGCCTTATATCTACGTATATACAACTTTCATCCTTACTACTTTTTCCGAGATTTGACTATTGCAGTATTTGTTTTTACATATAAATATACATCATAAGTTTCTTAATTTAACGTGACCAGTACTATTAACCATATATATAGTAAGCCAAAGGAAATATAGAAGTTGATTATAAAATTTTGTTTAAAACTAGGACCAAATGCGAATATATATGTCGTAACAATTGTTAGTATTTCTCTCCTACTAATAAACTTTATTGTTCATACTTCATTCTTTTACAGCATTCGAATTGTTAAATGGTAAATGGTAAATGTAATTGACATAAGAGTTTATAAAATTGAAGCTATTGACTTGAAATTATAATTTACTGGTTCAGAATTAAATTCGATTGTAAAACTTATAAGATTGTGGCAATTAAGTTTGAGATTGGCAAAAGCATCCTTTATATTATAAAATCTGCTCTAATAAGCATAGCGGGCTTTAAATCTGATTGGATGATCGACCGAAATGATACACAATATGTTCTTCATATTAGCGTAACGTTTCGCAGGCACAAAATTAAAACCGCAGCCACGTGTACAAAACCGC